GAGGATTACGAAATTTGGTACACTAATGTGGTGTCTCAGGACCTACAAAAAAGTCTCTTGGACCCAAGTGCAAAGTCGTACAGGAAGTCGGCCATTTTGGTCCAAGTACGCGATTTAGTGGTTTTCGCACACGTTGTTTGGAGAGTGATGCTCCGTCGTCCTTTTCACCAATCTCCTTCAAACTTCTGCCATATGCTCTTAAGTCATCGGGGAAAAAATTCAACCGTCGGATTTTTCAAAAGTTGAAAGGTGTGGGCGTGGCTAAGCCTCAAACTTTGACCTTTCGCCACGCCACTCTTTTTTTCACAGCTTCCTATTGGACTCCTTTTACCCAATCACCAATAATCTCTGGCAAATAGCAGTAGACAACTTGAGGTCACTTGGTATCCAGTACTGGCAGGTTTCGAGTAAAGGCGGGGCTTTGGCAGCATGGCGAAAATCACCATCACGCCATGGAAATACGTTTGCCTCTCATTTCTTCAGTTATTGTGATAGCGCTACGAAACTTCTTGTAAGTGATCCTTGTCTGACCCCCAAGAGACAAACATAGCTGAAATTTGTGGGCGTGGCCTATTTTCTTAAATAGCGCCCCCTAGGACCATTTAAACTAATAGCCCCAAGCCATGCTTTGACTGAAGATTACGAAATTTGGTACACTAATGTGGGGTCTCAGGACCTACAAAAAAGTCTCTTGGAGCCAAGCGTAAAGTCGCACAGGAAGTCAGCCATTTTGGTCCAAGTACGCGATTTAGTGGTTTTCGCACACGTTGTTTGGAGAGTGATGCTCCGTCGCCCTTTTCACCAATCACTTTCAAACTTCTACTATATACTCTTAAGACGTAGGGGAAAAAATTCAACCGTCGCATTTTTCAAAAGTTGAAAGGTGTGGGCGTGGCTAAGTCTCAAACTTTGACCTTTCGCCATTACTTTACTTGACTTAATAACTCCCATGTGCAAGATCAGATCTTTTTCAAACTTTGTCTGTGTGATCATTGACCATATCTGTAAAAAATGACAATGTGGACAGCTGACATCACCTAAGCCCCGCCCCCTGACCACAGGAAGTCTATTTTTTTATGCTGAAATGCCCATATTTGTCCCCTCTAATTTAGTCAACAAGACACCAAGGTCATGCACTGTCTTCATGATGCTGTATTGACCATTCAGATCTGATAGCTTTCCAGAAAGGGAAGGGCTTTGATGCCATGGCGAATTCTGGCGTAACGCCGCACCCTTACAATTCAATTTAATGGTGAGCTCAGAGGGGATGCTGAGTAAGGGTGAGGTGCGGACTAGGAGGCCATTTGCGGTTTCTAGTGTCGGGGCGGTTGACGTTTCTGTTCTGCCAGACGTGCCCTGGTGCCCCGGGCTGTCGGCCAGGCCGGAGCGGCGCGGAGCTGCGAGGGCCGAACGACGCTGCTTGCAGCTTTAATTTGATGTGTTTGTGTCACACGCTGACACATTTCTCAATATTTTCTACTGAACAACTTTTGAAAACAGTTCTTGCAAAGATGCAACTCATGTTTAGGAGCATGGAAACAACTAAAACATGGTGGATAGGGAACGTGGAGGACCAGAACCAGGTCTGAATTATTAACAATGTTTGTTTTTAGCTTAAAAGTAAAACTAAAACACAGCTGTGTTTCGAGGCCTTGAGGAGCAACAAAAGATGCTCCTAAAACCATCCAAATTTATTGCAACATTTTTTCTTAACATTACAATCAAAGCATCTCCAGTTCACATGGGTGACATTCAGACCGGCACAGAAAGCACCTCGAGTTCATCTATATTAGCAGAAGGAGCAAGTCATTCATTGCACTCCACAATCACATTGAATCAATAGTTTTATTGTCACTGTTTTAATAAAGGTGTAGCATGAAAAAAACATGGAGGATAATAGTCATTAAGTGACTATTTTTAGAAACTTCAAACAAAAACAACCCATGCCTGGCAACAAGTTTAAGTCAACTCTGGAAAAGAATTTAACGCTGAAAGTAACACAAAACAATAGAAAGGTCTTCCCAATATGAGAAATCAGTATTTTGTTTAAAGTACTTTTGGTTATTTGTACATGACAAAAAATATATAAAAATAAAACTTTTTTTATCAGAGAAACGTAACAAAAGCCCCTCTACATTTAAATAAACACTGTTACAGACTGATCGTCAAGCTATTTAGACAATTTCACTCTTGACCACATATTTACGTAACACACTTGAATACAAACAGATCGACAAAAGAAGAGGAAGAAAATGTGTGGGGAAGAGAATTTGTTTCCGTTTATTTGGCTCATATCTCACAATACAGTCAAGCTTTAAGTGTGGATTTACAAAGGAGTGCAGCAGTCATGTTCGTTCTAGGCCGTGTGCTCAGACGCGCCCGTCTGAAAGCGTTTCTCATCATTCCCTTCGCTCTAAAACTGCACGTCTCAAGACAACAGTGAACTTAGCTGACCCCTGAGTTTCTAATGCAAAACTAGTGAATTAAATACCTCATGACAGTGTTCCTTAGTGCAAGCCAGCAGTACGCTTGATTAAACAGACGAGATTTCCCCGGAGCGGCTGTTCCGCCGCTCAAACTGCAACGAGCGGTAGGGGCTGGGGGGTGTTCTGCTCATGTCTGTATGAAAACCAGCAGTTCAAATGCTCGAACGTGTTTAACATCTATAAACATGTTTTTCATAGAAAATATAAATATCCCTGAATGAAACAGATTCACAGCGTTGTATCGAGGACTCCAGTGCTGCTACCATAACGTTGTGTCCTTAACCTCTTCAGCGAACACCCACCGGGTCTGGGAATGACGGCTGCAGCGGCTTCACCCGTCATTCCCAGACCCGGTAATTCACCGTCCGCTTCCCGCGGTTCCTGGTGTTGACTCGTACCGCATCGCTGTCTATCTATTTGTTGGATGCGGCTCTCTGGTGGCGCCGCCGGAGCTGGCGGCCTGCGGCCCTTTCACCAATCCCTGCTCGAGCTCTCCTCTTTGGACTGCTGTGGGACCCTGAGCTGGAAAAGAAGTTTTCAGAGGCTGAAGACAACTGCTCCTTCTCTGAGTCGGAGCTGTGTTGACTGCTGCTGTAGCTTTTCCTTCTTTTAGGCTTTGGCTGCCTCATATTCTTCCTCCTCGATCGACTGACTTCCTCCTCCTCCTGACTGGAGCCAGATGAAGAGCTGCTGCCTTCGTCGTCACGGGTCTTTTTTGGATTTCCTTACAGAGTGTGTTAGAGTTTGACCTGCTGTGTTTATTGTTCTGTTTTACCGGATCCCCGTCTCCATCCTCCTCTTCCTCAGAATCTGAGGTGTAAATGCGTTTCCTCTTAGAGGAGAGCGGATTCCTGGCCTCACCTGGAGAAGTTTTCTTAGATGTTCTCGTGTTGTACCGCACTTCCCGTGGTTCTAAGACTCTCTTGTTTCCATTTCTCTGTCTACGCTGGACTGCTGGAGCGGAGTCTTCCTCAGAAAGAGAGTTGTCAGTGATGCATTCCTTTTTCGGTAGAGCTCGGAGTCTGGGCCGTCCGTTTGAAAGGTCGTCAGAATGTTCCGACTCTTCGTCTGAAGATCCAGTGGAGCGTTTCCTCCTCACTTTCCTGCTGGGTTTGTACTCCTGCCCAGAACTCTTTGAAGCAGAGGTGCTGCAGCGAAGCCGTTTATTTTTGTTTCCCGTTGGCCTCTTTGTTTCAAAGTCAGATGCATCACTGGAGTCGTGATTTTCCATTTCCTTCTCTTTCACTCCTTTCCTCTGCAGGTTGAACCTTGTTGAAGAATCGCTGACATCTTCTGAACTTGCACCATCCAGTTCCTTTAGCTGAGGCGGATTTTTGTTTGTCTTGGCGTTTTGAAGGAGAAACGTAACTTTTTTTCTTTGAGTCCCCGTGGAGACATTTTTCCACATTTCTCCCGTTTTGGCGTGAATGGTTCTGGGATTTGTTCTCTTTATCGGAGCTCACAGGTGGTTGGTGTCGAGTGGTCTGGCGTTCCACGTCATTGTCCTCTTCACTAACTATCCTACTGAGCTGGTTGAACTCACGTTGGAACTACGTTGAAACTTGATGGAACTGAATTAAAATGGCGTTGTTCTGTTTTATTAAGCTTAGATGTTTATGGTTCTTAGCGAATCGGAGTGGACAGATTAACTAAACACCACAGATCTCTGCCACGCAACAGAAAGGAAGTTCTGATTGGATGAGTGATCAATGTGTCATGTGTTTACCTTATGTGGATCAGAATGTCTAGCTTAGTTAGCCCAAGTCCTGTTATTCATTAAACACAAAAATCATAACATTGTGATTTCACAGATCGGTCACCTGATTATTATTGACCAACAGTTGTTTTGATTAGCTTTATTAGAAATAAAGTTCTTTGATTAACTAATGAAAAGCATTCTTCGTCCTTCTTCTGTCTTCTTTGCTTGAATGTAAACACCAAAAGCAGGCGCACGACCTTGGCAACGTATGCACACTGTCACTGCGTCAAAGGGCAGCTGTTAAGGGCAGAAATGGCATATTCATAACGCTACAGTTGTATGAACAATGACTATTCAGCCTGTACAAGTATAGTTAATTATGACATATATGATGAAAGCACGTCAAAAATGACCGTTCTTAAGATATTTGGACTTACTCAACTCTGCTTCATGTCCAAAGGCAACCGCCACTAGGTCGTGCCAAAACCACGACATGTTGTGGAGGTTGAACTAACTGTTGTGTAAAGCTTAATTCTGTAGTGAGAAATGCACCAAAGCAACTTGGAAAAACTGTAATCAGGAACTCAAGGCAGTAGTTAACGTTCCGGTGGTGCTTGTAGTACAAAATCACCACTAGATGGCAGCATTGTCTAACAAAGGACTTTTTCAACAGCGCCCAACAATAAACCATTATGAGCCATGTTCTAATACAGTACACATGGACGTAATTTTCACTTTAGAAGTGGGGGGGACACGGAGTGGGGGGGGGTTGAATCTTTACAGTATGCTCTAACGGGAAACCGGCTTCAACACAAACAGTTGTTTTCTGCTTGGTCCTAGAGCTCAACCAGTGTCCATTTAATATGACGTAGTATTGTTTTTGGATGGTAAAAATGCAGGGGTCAAACCTTGACTTTGGAAAAAGTGGGGGGGACAAGTCCCTCCTGTCCCCGCCCCAAAATTACGTCCATGACGGTACATGATACAGTACATGAGCATCTAGGCTACTTTTCTTTTTTTTAACAAAACTGAACAGTGTTAATATCTGTTTCTGTGTGACGTCTGAGCTTACTGCTCATTGGCCGACACTAACCGGGTGTCATGTGCACAGCTGAATTGGAAACATATGATTCCTGCTTGTCATTGTTTTGTATGAGAAGGAGGGATTTAGGAGTGACTGAGGAAAAAAAATGTTCCTTTGCCAGTTCTGGGAGGATTAAGGACGAGGATGCTGCCAGTCTGACCACTGAAACCACATATTTGAACATCAAGCTAGCCTTTGACCTGCTGCTGCGTATTCTTCTTCAGTTTTGTGAAATGCTTGTCATTATGTTTCCAAATGTTTCTAGAAGTTTTGGCTTCTCTGTAAGTGACTTTGCTGCTAGAGTTCCCATTTCTGCTCATTTGTGCTGTTTTGGTTTTGTTGGCTGAAGGCTCCTGCTGTTGTTTCTGTCGCAGATGCAGAGTGCGAACATGACCGTGAGCCACAAGAAAGCAAAGGTGCTCTGCGTGATTGTGACGCTGAACATCTTCATCTGTGTCTTGATGGGCCTGAAGTGGAATTTTGGGACCGGCCAAAGCCGTCAGCAGAAGGTTCGAATCCCATCCCAGAGGTTTTGGCACCAACGTTTTCTGAGTGAATCTTTCTGGAACAAGGAGCAGCAGCTGCTAGACGTAGTTCACAACCCAGTCATGAACTCTGCGCTCTCCAGCAACTCCACCAGTTTGTTGCCAGGTTGGATAAATGACATCTGTGAACCAGATTACAGGGTTCCAGCCCAAATCTCGGACTACAACACACTGCCGCAGCGGTTTCGAGACTTTCTTCTGCACATGCACTGCAGGACCTACCCCATGCTGATAAATCAGCCCCACATCTGTCAGGAAAACCCATTTCTGCTGCTGGTGGTCAAGAGTTTAATCCCACACTTTGACCGCCGGCAGGCCATTCGTCAGACGTGGGGTCACGCAGGCATCTTAGCCAATCGGACAGTAGTGACCGTCTTCCTGCTTGGCAGCACTTTGTTGGTGGAGAGTTTTCCAGATCTGCAGGGAATGCTTGTCCACGAGGGGAATTTTCACAAAGATTTACTCCAGTGGGACTACAGGGACACTTTCTTTAACCTCACCCTCAAAGAGGTCCTCTTTCTGGAGTGGTTTAGCCAACACTGTCCTCAAGCCCAGTATGTTCTGAAGGGGGATGATGATGTCTTTGTAAACACTCTGCGAGTCCTTGACTTCCTCGACGGTTTGTCTGAGTTCAAAGCCAAGGATTTGTTCATAGGTGATGTAATCAGTGATGCTGGGCCACAGAGAGACAAACGGCTGAAGTATTTCATCCCCGAGAGTGTGTTTGTGGGGGAGTACCCGCCCTACGCCGGGGGTGGAGGCTATCTGCTTTCAGGGGAGTTGGCGCTACGCCTTTACAACGTATCACAGGAGGTGGTCTTGTACCCCATCGATGATGTGTACACAGGGATGTGTCTGAAGAAGCTGGGCCTGGCGCCTGAGAAGCACTCTGGTTTCAGGACGTTTGACATAGAGGAAAAATTCAGACGCAATCCCTGCATCTACAGAGGCTTGATGCTGGTTCACAACCGAACACCACAGGACATGCTGAAGCTCTGGCCCTGGATCGTCCGCCCGGAGCTGGACTGCCAGTGAACCCCCACCCCACCCCCTATTTAAAGAGCAAGTCACCCCCTACCAGAGTCTAACCCCACTCCCACTTCATGTTTGAAAAATGCAACAAATGCTGTTGCCTGGTAGACCGAGAGGGCGGAGCCGCTAACAAATACACACACACTCAGGCTCACGACAGCATTGTGACATCATAATGTACCAGTTTACATCATAGCATACTTCTTAGCCAATAGCGGTGGCAGATTTAAATTAAAAGACAGTGCAGAGTTTTTACCTGACAACGGCACAACACTGCCAGTTTTAGGCAGAATATTTAAATTTTAACTAAGATGCACTGAAGTGCCAAATTATTGACGACACGAGTCTGCAGCACGATTAGACACTCGTTTATTTAGTTTATCAGCAAAAAAAAGTTTATTTGGGGGTGACTTGCTCTTTAAATGTGTTTGTGTTCATTTTAAGATTTTTAGAGCTTAATGTTCCCGTTGGCATTTTAAATTAAATTAAATTAAATTAATTGTTGTTTTAAATTACTTGTTTCTTTCTTTATTTTCAGAAAAATCTGGATTTTACTGTCAGAAATGATTTAAAGAAGATTTCATATGAACTACATTAGTCAGAAAACGTTTGGTTTCCTTTCAGAATCAACATTTTCTAAGAGACACCAAACCACAAAATACTCCCACAAATGTGGACCATTAATTGCAAACAAGATTTGTTAAAAAAAAAGTGATTTTCCTAACAAATCCAAAGTGAGTTCATGTACAATATAGAGTAAGAGTACGCCCGACTTATAGTCTTAGGAGAAAAGCCACACTTAAGACAACAAAATTCTAATTAACAGGCGTTCAACCACAGGTGTCCAGCAGACAGGTGACTATAAAAGGACGTTACTTAAAGAAAAGTCCTTCCCATTTCATGCTGTCAGCAACGGCTCCACATGGAAGAGAAATGTCACAAAATCTGAGAAAGGAAATCATTTATTTACACAAGAAGGTGAGGGCTACAAGAAGACCAGCAAAGCTTTACGTATCAGTCACAATACTGTAGCAGAAGTCATCCAAACATTTAAGAAAGATGGAAGTGCAACCAATCTTACAGAGACGTCCACGTAGTTAACATCTCTACAGGAGCGTCTTCTGATGAGAAGGGTTGTAGAAAATCACCATGCAAGTTCACTGCAGTCAGCTAGAGCAGTAGAAAGCCTAACTGGAGTGACCGTTCCCCGTGACACCATACGGCGCACACTGCAGAGGAATGGCATGCATGGGCATCGTCCACAAAGGAGAGAGAGTGCTCGCTGCAGAACCACAAAGGTGGAGCTGCACCAAAGTCAGCCCCGGCCCAATGACTTATTCTGTTTTTGTTTTGTAACTTTATCGCAAACTAACCTGGCCCATATGAACTATGGCTGCTACTAGTTTACAACTGTTAATTCTATGTTCTATGTTCCAATTAAGCAAGATAAATATAATTTGCTACATGAAAAAGCCGGATATTACCCCGATATATATCTGTAAATGACTTTATATATATATATATATATATATATATATATATATATATATATATATATATCAGGGATGTGTATTGGTGAAATTCTGGCGATACGATACGATATATCACGATATATTGCGATACATTCAGTCAGACGTTACAAGCAATTTTTTTTACTGAATTTATTGTAAGAATGCTCAATAAACAGTCCAAACTGATACGTAACATGTTTAACATGAGGTATCTGAACCATGATGGAGGGATTTACATTTCAATGGTGGAAACAAAACCCGTTGCACACTGCTGCCAACTAGCGGGTGGCGATTGAATTGCACAAAACGAAAAGAAAATAAACAAATGTTTGCATGTAAATTCTTTCAAGAATTAGATACACGACTTTTGAATATCAATGTAATAATCGCAGGAAAAAATATCACGATATATTGCCATATCGATATTTCCGATACACGGCTTTTGAATATCAATATAATATTGCTGGAAAAAATATCACGATATATAGCCATATCGATATTTTCTTACATCCCTAATGTATATATATATATATATATATATATATATATATATATATATGCATACAATTCAGAAAGGCCTTGTTTCCCATCTGGGCTGTTTGATTGTGGTGTTAGTTGTGTTTGGAGAATGTGGACAGTTGTAGATGTTTGGGACATGATACCGTAGAGGTCCCCAATCGGGGGGCGTTAAGAGTTAAACAGGATAAACAAAACATTAATCTTCACGCCTATATTTGACATTTCATTTCTGTTCATTTAACCTCCTATCAGGGGTTACTTGGTCCATTCTGCTTAAATATTATTTAGGTTTACACTCATTTAACTACTGATGATTATTACATTCTCATATATTTCCTGTTTAATGTGTAATGGTTTTGATTCTGAAATGGATTACCTGAGCTCATACAGTGTCAGGTACCTTCAAAATGACAACTATAACACTATCCATCTATCTATCTATCTATCTATCTATCTATCTATCTATCTATCTATCTATCTATCTATCTATCTATCTATCTATCTATCTATCTATCTATCTATCTATCTATCTATCTATCTATCTATCTATCTATCTATCTATCTATCTATCTATCATCTATCTATCAATCAATCAATCAATCAATCAATCTATCTATCTATCTATCTATCTATCTATCTATCTATCTATCTATCTATCTATCTATCTATCTATCTATCTATCTATCTATCTATCTATCTATCTATCTATCTATCTATCTATCTATCTATCTATCAATCAATCAATCTATCAATCAATCAATCAATCAATCTATCAATCAATCAATCAATCAATCAATCAATCAATCAATCAATCAATCAATCAATCAATCAATCAATCTATCTATCTATCTATCAATCTATCAATCTATCTATCTATCTATCTATCAATCTATCTATCTATCTATCTATCTATCTATCTATCTATCTATCTATCTATCTATCTATCTATCTATCTATCTATCTATCTATCTATCTATCTATCTATCTATCTATCTATCTATCTATCTATCTATCTATCTATCTATCTATCTATCTATCTATCTATCTATCTATCTATCTATCTATCTACAGGGATAGGGAGTATCTGAAAACATGCTGGGTAGACCCGTCTTCGAGGTCATCATGTCTCGCCCCTGCACACACATGCATGCACACACACCAATTCTTTGTTGTACCAGAAAACTTTGTTTGAGCATTATTCTGTGCAGAGTTTTTCTGCATATCTGACACTACACAAGAAAACAAAGCAAATGAAAAATAGTTTCATGTACATTTGTGACTCTCCAAAGCCCTGGCAAAACAAGTTCTCAAATCCTGGCAGTAAATGGGTTAAATCTAAATAAAAGTGAGTGTTTAGTGAGTGCTGAAGCTAAGGATGAAATGTATGTAAAAATAGAAACACATACATAATATTATAATATAAAAAAGGACCTTAGTGCGAGTTTTTCCTAAATTCTGACAATACAAAAATTACAAAGTAATCAAAAAATATTTTTATGGTCGTTGGTGACTCTCCAAAGCCCCGACAATTCACCCCCAAAACAGGTTCTCTAGACATTACACATAAAAAATATTTTCATTTTTTGTTTTTTTATAATGTAGATTTTTATGTTTTTTTTTTTTTTTAGAAAACATGGCACCTAAGGGGTTAAAACTGAAAAAAACCCCACAAAAATTCTACTATGTTGGTAAAGACTGAAGATAAGGATGAAATTTTCTGTAAAAATTTTTGACCTTTGAAATAATTTTTATTATACCTTTTTCTAAAATGCATTTTTCGTGCATAGGGACCAGAGTGCGAGTTTTTCTGAATATCTGACACTACACAAAAAATACAGTAAAAAATATATTTTACCCCCAAACCAAGTCCTCTGAACATAAAACACAAAAAAGGATTAATTATTTTTTTCGACATTGATTTTTCTAAAAAAAAAATGGCACTAAAATGGTTAAATCTCAAAAACACTAATATTTTACTATGTTTGGTGAGGACAGAAGCATCGGATGGAATTAGTGGAAAAAAATAGACGTTTGAAATATTATATAATTTTAATTACACCTTTCGATCAAAGTTATTTTTTAGTGTGAAGGGTCCCCAATTTAGCTGTTTTAAAGGACACTCCAAGGGAAACAATAATAATAATAATAATAATAATAATAATAAGGCACTAGCACAAAATCACTGTACAAAGCAGTAAGGTAAAACACATCTTTCTGAAGCAGAGAAAGAAACAAGTATGAATCCTAGAGTGTCCCTTGCTCTCTGAGCCCATGGCCAACAGCCTGCAAAAGGAAAGCCAATCAGCTTCTTGATGAGGTTCACCTGCTCAGAGAACACAGGAAGCGTAACAGTTTCACAGAAGCTGAGAGTTCTACCTTGATTTCTTCATTTTTCTTACTATCAAAAGCTTTCTTGAAAAGATTTGGAGACAAAAATGTCTCAAAAATACGGCTCAAATTATACAAGCATGTTGCTTGTGTTTCTGCTGATGTTCAGAAATCTGTGTGATGCAGAGGTAAGATCCCCTCAGAGATCTGCTCTTAATTTTACCCTTCACTTCTCACGTTTGACTTTTATCTCCACAGAGGAGCACAGGCGGTGCCACCAGGCCTCCAGGTGAGTGATGCTAGGTTTTTCTCACCATCAGTAACGGTTGCACATTAAGAGTGGCCTGTGGACATTATGGGTGAAGTTGGCTAACATGCTGCTGTTTAATTGGACAGAAGCAAAATGAAACAAAACACTAACATGGGCTTATAAACTATATCCATGTTAATAGTTTGGATTTTAAATGTTTTTACCTCTAAAACTAAATCCACGTTCATTTTGAGTTACTGGTGTTTCGCTGCTATTAAAGGATTAATAAATAACGCTTCGAATCACAGGAATGATTCAAACCAAACATCAGATGCTAACTTTGAAGTGTTTCTTGTGAAAAGTAGTTGAGTCCCATCATTTTGGAGAAACACAGATTAATTTTGACCAGTGGCGTGTCCGGATCTTTTAAAATGGGGTGGCCCAGGTGAGGCACAATTTTGTGCATGGGTGGCATCAATGGTTATGCTTTTTTTGTTTTACCCCCAAGGCCTTTTGTGGTAATTTAGTGTGGTGACACCTGGGGTGGCCAGTCAGATTCCAAGGGTGGCATGGGCTACCCCAGGCCACTCCCTGGACACGCCCCTGATTTTGACCAGATTAATGAGCTGGTTTAATTAAAGCCAGTTACGAATGACTAATCTGAAAAGGTCTGAGTATTCATGTAAACTTGCTCTATGATCTTCTACCCCTCCTTTTTTTACCCCATTTGGCTGTTAAGGTTGAAGTTCATATTTCTGCTGGAATAGCTGAAAAGTGAGGTGTACTGTAGCCCGTTTTAGAAGAGACACCATGCCAGCAGATCAGTGTAAAACTCCCGCCACAGTGTGTTTTATGAATGTGCCGTGGCGACGTGGTGAGGCACAATCTCGCCACGCTTGGTAGCAATACTGCCACAGTGCCAGACTTGTGAATGAAGACTACGCCTTGGCGCAACAAAGGATGGTGTCTGGATCACATGGGGGGGTTACGGCTGAGCTCTGGCCAGCAACTGTTACTAAAAATGAAGGTAAACACGGGAATGTGTTTCGCCTTTTGAACAGAATCGGCTGAGATAGTCAAGTCAGAAGCTTCTCCCCGTTAAAGCCAGAGCTCAGATCATTGGGCAGTTCATGGGGACTGTGAAGGACTGATACCTTTGAGCGGCTTGCCAAAAAAAAAAAAACTTATTAAGCACGGCTTCAAAGAAGCAAGTCATGTCCAAGTTGAACAGAAGTCCGTGGCAGCACAGAGTAGCGGTGTGCTAATGAAGCCTCACAAAGAGCTTCCAAGCATTCTCTGCTGTGCCATCCATGAATCAAGGCCTCAAACGCATCAGCTGTGGCACCATCTAGTGGTACTTAGTTACATTACAACGCATTAAAATGCTTCACACATTGTATCTGTGGATGTCACTGCAGGATAAAATGCATCAAATCCAAATTTTCCTGAGTCTGAAGAGCACAGATCGATTTAATTTTTTTCCTAATCCGACCCAGGTCACTTTCATTTGTGGTACTTATTCCAATTTTGAAAGTGATTACTCTCTACACGGTCATGTCACATTAAATCAGCCTCCTACGTCAATCATCAGCGGAGGGGAGCGTGGTGCGTAGACGTTCCAGAGGAGAACTAGAACAACCAACCGTGAGGTTCGGCAGCTTTTATGTTGAAAGTGACACAGAAAACGAATCAGTCACGTGACTCAGGAAAACCGAGGCTTTGTCTGTGATCACTCACGTCGTGGTTTTCTGCAAAGTGAATCAAGCCTCGGAGTGGGGCTTCATGCACATGCCCCCTAATTGCTCGATACAAGCCTCGAAGTGGGGCTTCGTTTGTCCCATCGCTAGTGCAGAGTCCGCCCCCATACCCCCTTTATACCGCTATCTGTTATCTTTTCTAAAAAGGACATGATTGCGCCACATTACCGCCAAGGTCTGACCTAAGGCTTCCTGATGCCGGCTCAATATTGCATTACTGAGAAGTAGACTATATGGTTGGAGAAGATGATTTTAAACACACCCAACTTGAATTGGCCCAAATGAACCTTGTCCACTTTTTCCTTTGTGTCCTTCAGATGGACAGAAGGGGGACGGCAGCGCTTTCTTTGCCCTGCGGAGCTGCCACCAGCTCCTTCAGGGCGACGGCGGAGAGTTTTTCTCCCCAGACTACCTGTGCTCAAATCCTCCTCTGTGGTGCAACTGGACCATCCAGGTGGATCCCGGGAAGAGGATCCATCTTCGTCTGGAAGACTTGACTCCTGATGAGACCTGTGAACTCAAGCAGGACCAGATCCACATAGATGAGCCTGCTGGTCATTCAGGAGGCCACAAGGTGCTGCAGAAGTGCTGGCAAGAAGCCAAGTACACGTCGTCTTCCAACACTCTGTACGTGGTTCTACTGATCGGAGGCTGGCCCAGGCCTACTTACAGGGGCTTCTATGGGCGCTACCAGGCTTTTGGACAGCCGGTGGTCTACAACCCCAAAGAAGGCTTCACGGGGAGAAGTAAGGAATCTAAGCTATCTTCTGGTCTGATGGACTTCAGTGACTTTGACTCGGCTGTGAACAGTGAACAGTCAGAAGTAGCCAACTCTGATGTGACATACGATTACTACGACCAGCATTTAACCATGAGAGCCAGGCAGCCCTGGGGGACTGGTGGTGCCGAGAGGCTGACAGACCTGGGAAAGGTAAGGGTCACCGGGCATAATTTGGATTTGAAGCAAACTTTATGCATTTTCTCTAGGATCCCGCTTAAGGCACATTTTAGAGCGGAACTGAGTTGGGGACAGTGGCGGCTCCAGAAATGTTTTTCTGCAGGTGCTATGAAGGAGCTAGTCTTTTGATTGAGGGTGCTATGAAGGAAGTGGTCATGCGTACTTATTGTTCTCTAAAACACCTTCAACACTAGCAGACACACATGCGTGCACAAAACCTCAACACCTGAAATAATCATTAATAAACATCATAAACACATGAACTATCGCTGACTTTTCCATGAAATCATAAACACATACAGCCACACAAAAAAAACATCTATAGAGTTGCAAGGTTAGCTAACGTTAGTGTTAGCATTTCCAGCGGCGGTTGACGGTTGACTCTCTCCATCCAGATCTGTAGGTTTTTGTGGGTCTGAGATCACTTCCAAAGGTTCATTAGTTTCTGACTGAACCCGTGGGAATGTGGGCAACAAACGCAGATCCATTTTACCACTAGCTCTACCTTTCACTCATTCGCAGATAGAAAATGAGGTCAAAGGTTAACATCAATTTCCTGTTTTGGTTTAAGTTTTTACTATCTATGTGATAATTTACTGATTGTTTTTGTTTTGTATGTTAAATATTATCACATCCACACGTTAAATTCAAATTGAATTGTAACAAAAAAAAATCTAATATTTACTTGGGGGTCCATTGACTAATCCAGGGGTAGCTATAGCGCCCCCCCTGGCACCCCCCTGGCGCCGCCACTGGTTGGGGACTGAGAACCAGAGAACTTTTGGATGAATGGCATCTGTCAGAGATTTACCACATTATGTTAAATCCTTT